GTTTTAAAGAAAAAAAACATTTGAGGCACCGTCTTAAGTGTATGATTCTGTATTCTTCATTGGTTCCTTGGAATCTTTCTTCCCCCAGCTGGACGTTTGCTTCTTGGACCCGGCTTAGTATATCGGCAATCCTTTGGCCTTATCGCATGGAACCATAAACTCACTCTCGGCATGTCAATGCCATTTCGCACAACTGATTGATTTATCACCAGAACCACTCGACAAATGCTCGATTGGTTGATTTGATAGGTAGAAAGAGAAAGCGAAAGAGAAAAATAAAGAGACAGATACAAGATAAAAGCAAGAGAAAGATACAGAGAAAGAGAAAGATAAAAGCAAGATAAAGACGAAGACAACAGACAGATAAAAATAAAGATAGAGATAGATACAAAGAGAGAGAGAGAGGGAGCGACAGAGAGAGAGAGAGAGAGAGAGAGAAAAAAAAGAACGAGACAGAAAAAGAGAAAGATAAAGATAAAGAAAAGGAGAAAGATACATGAAAGAGACAGAGAGATAGAAAGTGAAAGACAGAGAGATAGAAAGTGAAGGATAGTGAGAGAGAGAGAAAGAAAAAGAGAACGAGAAAGAGAAAGAGAAATAGAGAGAAAGAGAGAGAGAGAGAGATAGAGACAGAGGGATAGAGAGGGACAGAGAGGGATTGAGAGCCGACGCGCGTCACGTTTCTGGAGTTCCAGATTGGAATCCGCCGACGCCAGTCGAGCGTGTACATGGCAGTCCGCAACTTGGTCTTCCTTCGGATCTCTTATCAAAGCCGAAGGCTTTTGGGGCTGCCATTTTTTGGGCATGGTGTGCTGGGTGTCCAAAACCCTGCAATACCTGCGTTTCGCCTAGGTCTCTAGAGGGCTGGTTTCCCCCGGACGCGCAGGATCTGCACCCAGCATCATCAGGGTTACCTTGCTGCTCTTTTTTTTGCAGATACCAATGGTGTTTTGCTGTTTCAAGCGATGTTGGAATCGGCCTGTTGGGGGTCTGGGTGGGGCCAAGTGCAGTGATACGTTGAGGAACTGTTTGAATTTGCAAACATGAGTGTTCTGCGAAACATCCCCTGCATTATCGTGCTTTTGGAAGTCTATTTTTAGGGCATTTGAAGGGGGTTGCTAGTATCTGCTTTTGATGGTTGATTTTGGGAAATGTCAACAAATCCTGACTTTTTCGACTTTTTGGACTTTTTTGTGGCCAGCCGGCTGCATTCCCAGCATTCCCGACGTCTCTGGTATTTTCTGCGTTACGTCAATTTTGCGTGTCTGAAAGTCTTGAGATGTTGGATGCGAAGATTGGGTCTGTTCCTATACGTTGTGTGGTTGCGTCCCGTGCGTTTCCAGCATCCCCAGCATCTGGGACATGTTTCCTGACTGAAAAATAGCAAAGTGCCAAGAAGGCCTTCTTGTGGCACTTTCAGACTTCCACGGAGGAGTCCTCCCCATGGTTGGTTTCCTGGGTCCCTTTGTGGGGTAGCATGCAAAACCCTGATTGTTAGCCCATGCACAACATGAAACCCCCCTAAAAAGACATTCCTCTCAAACCACCGGCCACAACTGCCCCTTGAGGGGCCGTCAAACATCTTTTAGGGCCCTGGGGTGTGCCTAAGAGTCCATGAGTGTCTGGAACTAGAAGACCAAACCTGTACATTGTTCCAAAGACCTGATCACGCCATTTGGTCAGAACCTGATATCCATGTAGGGGGTGCCTTTCACTTGCAGTGCTCTCCAGATTCCGCAGTCAACATTATCACTTGTCTGAGGGGGATCAACGTTTTGGCCTTTCGGTTTTGGTGGCTCTAGAAGGTAAACCTGATATGTCCAAGTTATTGGGCAACATATATACATACATATGTAAATATTAACGCACTAAGCCAGGGTCATTGGGCGGTACCATATTATATACACATAGCTTGGGTCCTATTTGGTCCAGTGCGAAGCCTTCGCAGGTCGCAGGATACGCAGGATACACCCATGCAGCCCCAAGTTTCCCTGGATCGGCAGTTGTTCCCCCCCCCCCCCCGCCCAGCAACTTTTTCATCCTGTTGATTGTGACCACTGTTTCAGGGCGAGAAGGCCAGCGGCTGCACTGGCATCAACCGCATCGTGGTGGAGGCGGAATGGCGGAGGGTTCGGATCGCAGCCCAGAAGACCTTACGCATCGTAGGCCCTCCGAAAAGGAGGTCCTGACCCCCATGGCGGATGCTGACGTCTTGTTGTTGAAGCCTTTTGCTCCGCTTTCGGCGAGCAACCGTGATTTGCACGGATAAAAGGGGCCCGAAAAGAGGGGCCCTGGTGTCCCTTTTTTCGACTGTTTCTTTGGCGGGCTTCCACTAAAGATTGTCAGCCCCATAACGGGTTCCATTGGTGTACCAATTGGATGGGAACCTGTCTTTAGAGTTTCCTTTGACCATCACTTAAGTAGCTTTATGAAGTCAGGGTTGCCTCCGTTACGCACATTTTTGTTGGTTGCTTGGGTGGTCGGGCCAGTTCGTACGTGGGTAGCCACCACTAAGAACAGGGTTAGTTCAATCTGGGTGAGCTTTCAAGTGGGTTGCGACGTTCCCAACAACTCACTTGGCCGAACAAAGCGTTATCCCAATCCCTATCCCTTGGGCTGCGGTTCTTTGCGTGCGTTATCTGAGGCAAAGCTGATTCGTGTAAATGAAGGAATTCAGTCCGACTTGACATAAGATGCAGATGTCTGCCCCAGTTCTTTCCGTTGAGTAGACCCTTTTACCAAGCTTTGATTGTGGCTTTCTGAACAATTTCGTTGTGGTTGCCCGAAGTGGTAGGGTCTGGCGGGTCTCGACGGTTTTGATTCGCAGACCTCCAGTGGGTGCAAATCCATTTGTCAACCTTTTTCGGAGAACCGTTTCCCTTTAAAATCAACCAACCCCAAAAAATATTGGGCTTTTAAATCCTTGGGATAAGTTTCATCCGGGACTATGGAACTTGGACCCGGCTTGACGTGCAGGTGGCCAATATGGTCCAGTGGGGCCGCTGCAACCTCGGGGGCTGGCGCATGAACGAGGCCCAAAGCTCCGACGGCGCCTACCAGCTGGCACCTCGCCACAACGCGACAGTCCGCCGCCTTTGGCTTCAACCCACCGGGGAAAAGGGGGGAATTTGGATGTGAGCCGAAGTGTTTGTTGGATTCTTGTGAAGGGGCCGGAAATCGATTTCCGGCCGTGCGTTTCTGGGCTGAAATCGCGGCCTCACCAAAGAGAGTTTAAGTGAGACCTCGCACATGAAGGTTGCTGTCGCCGAGATCGCTTCTTGCTGCTAATAGCAATGCACCAAATCTGGGGTCTACTCCAAAACGATTCTTGTTATTTTAGAATAGACTACGTGTGACGCATATTCTGAACATATTGTCCCGTATGTGGGTCAACGACCCCCACTCACCCCCTTGCGATGGGCTTACTTTGGCCTTGATATTCTTCTCGAAAAATCCGTCGCTGTGAGTGAGACCAAAATTGGAAAACGGCTGAGGTGTGCTGGGAACCTTACAACCATTGCCTTTGAATTGGGGGGGTCGGTTTGTTGGGGGTTCACCTTAGGGACCCCTGAGAATTCTTATGTCACTTCTCTCACTTGACTTTTGGACTTCCCAGCCAAAGTCCCGAACCTCCAGCGCTTTTTCCGCTTTTAATCTCCGGAGGGGTTCCCTTTTTAGATCACCAACAAAAAGAACAAAGGAGCGCCGGGTCTTTTTGATGGACATCCCCCCGGGGGGGGGGGAGGGTCTGGGGAAAAGGCTTTCCAAGCTTGAACAGGCTTGGAGCCGGGGATCCCTGTGGAAGTCTCTTTTGCTGGTCTCAGCGGCTCAGCCCTTTAAGAACGCACATCTGTTGCGAACACCACCTTTGTAAAGCCCCACCTTGGCGGAAAAAAAAACACCACACACGGGGAAAGAAGAACAAAGTGCACACATTGACAAACAGACAATCAGACAAAAACAAGCAACACAGAAAACAGGCAAGCAAGCACACAAGCAAACAAACAGAAACAAACACAAACCAACAAAAACAAGCAAACAAACAGACAAACAAACAAACACACAAACAATCACACAATCAAACAATCAAACAACCAAAAACAATCACAACAACAAAAACACAAACAACAACAACAACAAAAGCAACAACAATGACAATCACAACACCCACACACACACACACCCACACACACACAAAATAAAACACCAACAACCAAACCATCAAGCAAGCAAGCAAGCAAGCAAGCAAGCAAGCAAGCCAGCCAGCCAGCCAGCCAGCCAGCCAGCCAGCCAGCCACCCACCCACCCACCCACCCACCCACCCAACCAACCACCCAACCACCCACCCACCAACCCACCCAACCCACCCACCCACCCAACCCAACCCAACCCAACCCAACCCAACCCAACCTAACCCAACCCAACCAAACCCAACCAAACCCAACCAAACCCAACCAACCCAACCAACCCAACCAACCCAACCAACCCAACCAACCCAACCAACCCAACCAACCCAACCAACCAACCCACCAACCCAACCAACCAACCAACCAACCAACCCAGCCAGCCACCCACCCAGCCAGCCACCCACCCACCCACCAACCAACCAGCCAGCCAGCCAGCCAACCAGCCAGCCAGCCAGCCAGCCAGCCCGCCAACCAGCCAGCCAGCCAGCCACCAACCAACCAGCCAGCCACCCACCCACCAACCCACCCAACCAACCACCCACCCACCCACCAACCAACCAACCCACCCACCCAACCAACCAACCCAACCAACCCAACCAACCCAACCAACCCAACCAACCCAACCAACCCAACCAACCCAACCAACCCAACCAACCCAACCAACCCAACCAACCCAACCAACCCAACCAACCAACCAACCAGCCAGCCAGCCAGCCAGCCAACCGGCCAGCCAACCAGCCAGCCAGCCCAACCAACCCGCGAGCCAGCCACCCACCCACCCAACCAACCAACCACCCACCAACCCACCAACCAACTAACCAACCAACCCACCCACCAACCCAACCAACCCAACCAACCCAACCAACCCAACCAACCCAACCAACCCAACCAACCCAACCAACCCAACCAACCCAACCAACCCAACCAACCCAGCCAACCCAACCAACCCAACCAACGAACCAACCCAACCAACCCAACCAACCCAACCCACCCAACAAACCCAGCCACCCAACCACCCACCAACCAACCAGCCAGCCAGCCAGCCAGCCAACCAGCCAACCAGCCAGCCAGCCAGCCAGCCAACCAGCCAGCCAGCCAGCCAGCCAGCCACCAACCCAACCAACCAACCAACCCACCAACCCACACAAGCCTCTTGCGAGGAGTTCGTGCCCAACTCTGGCTCTGTCACAGGCTGGGGCCGGTTTGCTCGCTTGTTGCGAATTCAGAGGGGGCCCCCGCCCCTTGGGGGAATTGGACCGCTTGGTTCCATTTACCAGGGCAAGCTTACCCTATTTTTGACCAATAGCCAAACGTGGTCTGATTTCCCACCAAACCCATGGACACCCCGCGATCAATAACAGACTGGGGTTGATCAACATGGGGTCGACATTATTGCATACACGCACACACGTGCACACGTGCACACATGCACACGCGCACACATGCACACATGCACGCTTGGAATTAATGGAAACATGGACACATGCACACATGCACATGCACACAGGCACATATGCACACATGCACACTTGCACACTTGCACACTTGCACACTTGCACACATGCACACTTGCACACACACACACACACACACACACACACGCACACGTGTCCACACATGGACACACACACGCATGTACATACACACATACGCTGATACGGACTTGTACGCCCAACACATGCACACATGCACACATGGACACATGCACACATGGACACATGCACACATGCACACTTGCACACTCGGGCACTTGCACACATGCACACATGCAGCGTGCACACTTGAACACTTGCACACTTGCACACATTCACTCATGCACGCATGCACACTTGCACACATGCAGACAAACACACACACATGCACACACACACACATATGCACACATGGACACCTACACGCATGTACACACACACGCCGATTTGGACTGATACGCCCATACTCGCATACCGGCACACACATACACACATATACGCCCCCATGCACGCATGCACACATGCACACGTACACACATACATACACAGACACACACACACACACCCACACACCCACGCACACGCACACGCACATGCACACGCACACCCACACACACCCACACACACACACGCACGCACGCAGGCACGCACGCACGCACGCACGCACGAAAAACACTCACGCACACACACACACACAGACACACCCACGCACGCACGCACGCACGCACGCACACGCACACGCACACGCACACGCACACACGCACACCCACAAATCCTTGTTCATTCCACAGGGGGGTCTGTTCATTTGGGGTGGAAAGTCTGAAATTTTGAGCTGTGAAGCATATAGGTCGCTATGTGTGTAGATGAGGAGCCAAGTTGAAGCCTATGGAGCTCAAAAGACCCCACTCTTCCACCAGTGTGTTACTTGGTAACCAAGTGACACTGCTGTTGGAAGCATAAGTAACTTTAAGGGTATGACCAAAAACCTTTTTGGGGGGGGGCATATACTTACTCTTTCCAGTTGGCCGTGCGAAAGAATTTACTTAACCTTGAGCCAACAGTACACCACTTAGTACCTAGTAACTGGTCGCGACATTCAGGGGAGAAATGTTTACGTGTTTCACATTGTTGCTGGCTGCTGGCTGCCGGCTGCCAGCTACCGGCTGCTGGCTTCATCAGCTGTGCCTTGGCGGCAAGTACACCAGCCATGTTTTGGCAATTAGTGGAAGCATGTGCTCTTCTGAAGTTGTTTGCAGTGCAAACATGAGCATGACTGCCTTGGCTCAGGAACAACTACTACGGGCCACACTTTGTCAGAGGTTGCCACTGCTGCCTGCCTGCAATCAAAGGGTGTACAAAAGCCTACCAGGCCCTTCCAAGCCATGTCATGTGTGGTCACACTTACTAGCGCTTTCAGAGTGGAGAAGTGTAAACATCATGCAAAACAAACACGTGTTGCCCTACATGTTGCCTGTTTTGAGAGTTCTCCCCAACCCAAGGTGCGCCACTGATGATTTGCAACTGGCTGGTTAGGGTGGTGAAGTTCCTTGCTAAGCAACATGAAGCACCAAGGTAGGCTTGAGAAGACACAGTCAGGAAGCGCACCCCGTAGAATGTCACACAGTGTCCCTGAATCCCTTTGTGTGAGATTTTGTGGCACTGTGCCTGAAAGGAAACCATGTGTCCCTTACTTGCAAGATTTATCCCCCTTTCAACATCAGATGGGTGTTCCCTGAACTAAGATCATACAAAGGATTCTAAAACACACTTCTACATAACCTTCATTTCAACATTAAAGGCCCAATATCAGAAGACATGCGCACCGCCCCCCGCAAGACATTTTGATATAGATTCTGAGAGCTTGGCCTGCAAGAAACAAATGCAGCACGTGTGTCATGGGGAGCCAGGGAAACCCAAAAAGACAAAGTGCAGAGCCCAAGAAAAACAAGGAAACCGGGGAGGAAACGGCAGGGTTGCGCAGGGAGAGTGCGCAGCAGTCCAATTACTATGTCATTTTTCCACATCATGTGTGACTGACAAGACACATAGTTAAAACTATCTTGGTCACAGCCACATAGCATTGTTTAGAAAGTGTTGGCACACAACTGTATACTCACACAAATGCACAAACTGGCATAGATCTGCAAGTATCTTCAAATCAACAATTCTTGCTACATTTTGCTTCTTATTCCAGAGAAAGGGGGCCAGCCTTAGATGTAGAAGCTTCTGTGCATGATGTTGTGAGTAGTCAAGCCTTTCACCTTGAACGGGCAGTTGAGCATGAAGCAAGAAACGCGACGTTCATGGGACACAATAACTGGTCCTGATCTTATTTTCGGGAATTAAAATACATGTCAGGGCAAGTGGCGCTGTCCGCATCCATGAGTATGATGCTGAGCATCTGGTTAAGCTGGTCCTGCAAGTTCATATTTGGCGCTGCGTGGTGTATGCATACCAAACAGATGATGTTGACACACATGCTTTCGCAAGCAAGTCAGTTACTAACAAGCGCAAGTGATCCTCTTTTTGACGCAATCAAGCCGGGATTTGAAATCCAACTAGGAAAGAGCAGGCACAGTCTGCGTGCTCTATTATTCCAGGGCTTCTTTGAAGCACGTGATGAGTCGTAGCCAATCTGCGGCAGGCGCACATCATGAGGCGTGTATTCCGGAGTAAATTGTCTGCCGACAAGCAAACATCTCGCAGCATGCACTAGGCGCCAGCCAGCTTGTGTGTGCATATCATATTAACATTGACTTGACGCGCAAACGCATCGCAAACATATGGCATGCTGGGCTGGGCTGCGTGCATGACATGTGAGCCCAAAAAGGTGGTCACACCAGCACCCACTCAGAGTCCGAGTCAGAGTTCCTGATCTCCATGTTGTCCAGGATGCCTGGAATTTGCAAATACCACAAATTGAAGGTGCCCCTGTAGTGCAGCTTGCGTCCCTCACCATCTGCGAAACCTGAGTGGGGCAAGTTGTATACGTGTGTGTGTGTGTCTTGGGAATGCGAACTGCGGCAGTCACGCAGCACCAAAATTATGATGCACACACACATATGAATATGGAACTCAGTGTTGTGAGTCAAGCACATGGAGTGACAATGGCTTACTAATGCAATTCAAGTGGCAGGTCGGGCTCTCCTGGTCCTGCGTGAAGGTTAGGTTGCGCAGGCAGCTGGGGTCAACCTGGCTGCCACAGCAGTGAAACTGCTCGAGGACCAAGGTCTGGCCGCTGAACCGCCAAGCACCCTGCAGGCCGCTCCATGCGACCCGCTGGCTGGACCTGTGTGCAGGAGAGAGGCATGCAAACATGTTTGCTGCACACGTGTAATGCGAGGAGGCAACGGGTGACTAAGTTTTTTTTAAGTTCACCCCAGTCAGGACTGTCAACCTGGCTTGGACACCTCATCAGGCCAAGTAGCCAAGTACGCCTGCGAAAGGTGATCTGCGCAGTTTCCACAGAGAGGCAGACCCATTCATCTGGCCGATCAGGGCTGTGAGTCCATTTCAGCAAGTGCGCGGTGGTCGTTGATGTCGACATGCTGGGTGAGTCAGGCAAGGCGCGTGCGCGGGCAGGCAGATGTGAGCCCAAAACCTCTGTGCACACACACACATGATCAAACGTGCTGTGGCCAAGAATGACTGGCAGGCTGCGCGTCACAACATGGCCATGAATGCAATCCGCAGTGTGGGTGCACAATGCAAGTGCTAACTTGCCTTTCAAAGGGTGCAATGAGACAGCATATTCATGGAACCCATGTCCTGCTGCGTCTTGCGCATTCGCAGCACCTTGGCCTCGGCAGCCCGAAGTGGGTTTGATGCACATGTGTGGACGCATGCGCTTTATGAAATGTGTGTGCTATGGATAATGTGTGTGTGTGTGCGCGCTTAGACTGTCCTCCTACTTCAGCCTTGTTGCGCACATGTTTTGGTTTGAGCTCAGGATGTAAACAGGTTGATGACAAACTTGCAAGAAAGCAGGCGTACGCAGGTGCTGCCAGTCTCAGTGTGTAGTGTGTGCGTGTGAGTGTGTGTGCGTGTGTGTGTGTGTGTGAGCAGCAGGGGTCACAGAGGGTGACAGCGCAAGCATGCAAGTGTGTGATGCAGGTGCATCAGTTTTTAAAGTGAGTCATGCTGTGTTGCAAACACAAAAACACACTGACATTGCCACAAACCATGTGTGTGTGGAAGCAAGCAGCCAACGTGCATATACAGCAGTCAACTTGGGTGGCAGGAAGTGTTACTTCGCACTTAGTTCACACTTGTTCGGGTGCTTGATGATATCCCTGCTAAACCTTGGCAGCCAGTTGACCATAGCATGCCTGTCATGGCACGTAGTGTTTTTTGACGCTGGAATTTAGTTAGTTAACCTTAGTTAGCTGAGATCACGTGTGCTCATGACACTGCACCCAAGAACAAAACCTGCATGGCCTGCCTTCAAGAGGTGCAGCAACCAAAATGTGCCCTTTCCATGAACAAAACAGGCCTGAAACCATGTCTGTGAACCAACATGTTGGGGTTCCTGGCTTGGTTAGTACTACATGGAAAAAATAAACCCTGCAAACATGTCTTTTGCACTGCAGCAGCTCCCCCCAAAGACACATTATTCCTGCCCTTGTATGCAGGTTCACTCCTGGTTCCAAGGGTGAAACATGATGCGGTTGGATAGAGCCACTGGTGGGCAAGTTGCAATTGAGGAATTTCAACAAGGGACTGTCAGTGGCACCCACGTGCTGGAATTGTAAGTTCATGTAAGGATGATACTTGTTGCACAAGCTGCCCCTAAATTCAAGCTTCATGGAGTACGGGTGTCCATGTGGTTTGTGCTAGGCCTGCTGTTGATGCCAAGGGTTAGCCTAGCTATCGGTGGGATTGCAGGCTGAGGGTTTGGCCGCGGTTAATGTGTGAAGGGCAGCAATCCACAGACATTTGTGGCCCAGTGGTCTTGCAAATTGATCCTCCTGTGTTGTTTCCCTAGGGCCCCAGTTGACATTCTTGAGCTGCCCAGGTTGCGAAGAAGCTGCAGAGACCACCAGGGCCAGGCAGCTGCAGGTGAGGCCAGCGCCAGGCGCACCAGCCAGTGCCAGCACCTTAAATAAAGCAGGATCAATAAAGGGTGGGGGAAGGTTTACGGGGTCAATAGCCAAACAGGTTTTCATCGAAGGACTGAAACTTGATGGGTGGTGATCGGCGTGGACTTCGAGACCGCGGACCATGTTGACAACAACGTTGAGACCCCTGTGGTATGCCACTTGGTGGCTGCACAGGTGGCTTGCCCGCCGCTGACAAGCGTGGCAACCTTGACTATGCAGCTTTTGCCCGACTGAAAGGGTCATTTGGGTGGGCACCCGACCTGGGCTGCTCATGATTCCAGAGGGCTTAGTCCCCATACATCACCCGGAGTTCCGGGCTCGCTGAACTGACTTCGAGCAGTGCTGCCGACTGGACTTGAACTTGAATGTGGTCCTCACTAAACTTCAAAATTTACCCCCCCCCCCAGATTAGATGGAGTGTGAAGTGAGCCGGATGATCTTGTGTGTAGGGTAACCGAGTTGGAGGAAGTACTACATTGAACTGAGGGTTGGCTTACTCCTTCCATTGCAGGGGCGTTGTTCTGTGGCCACGGAGGTGGCTTTGATTGAAAAACAAAATCATTGCCAAGATGTTGCAATTTCTTTTGGGGTAGAACCTGTTCTGTACTGAAAGACTTTGCGCAATTACGGGCAACCTTGGAGATAAATGCTGCTGCGCCCAAGTTTTTGCAATCATGTCTTTTCTTTGTGAGTTAAACCGGCCAAACTTTTTTGATGTTGGTTAAAGGCCCTTGTGCTACACCTGGACCTGGCACCCCCTCCAAGGAATGTGAAAAATCAAGCTGTTGATTGGTTGCGCATAAGTTTTGTGGTTTCTCCCCTTTGTAACGCCCCCCCCCCCCAAAAAAAAAAGAGACAAAGACACAAAATAATGCGGTAAACTGCAAAAATGGCTTTGCCCCAGCCTTTCCCTTAGCTGAGTTTCTCAAGGGGGTGGAGCTTGACTTAGAGAGGGCAGGCAAAGTTGGTGCCCTTGAGCAATAGCTCAACCGCTGGTTGGTTTTTCTTTAGCTTCTTGACTTTCAGTGGTGGTGAGAAGACTGTGAAAGTTGCTTGCTTGATTGAAAGTCATGTTCATCACCTTGCTTGGAAGTGATGATGTGGAGGTGCTGCCAAAGTGGATGCTGAACTGCTTTCGTGGCTGCTGTGGAATAGCGCCCAATAATTGAAATGTCATTGCTTCCATGACATGTCCTCATTTCGATGACTTCAAGCCAGGTGTGCAAGTTCAGGGAATGGTGCAGGGCAATTGATTCATGGGCTGCGCAGGCTTTTGTTTGATGCTTGCTTGAACGAATGGTTTGGACTTAGCTCTTGTGCTGCAGCTTTCTTGGTGGGCTGGCTTGTTTTGGTTATTCCAGCTATGAAAGACACCCGCAACTTTATCCTTGGCTAACTCCCACCTTTCGTTAGCCGCCTGTTTTTTTGGTTAGTAGGGTGTTTGTTGTGTTACCACCACTGTGTGACAAAAGGGCAACAAGCTTCTAGCGCAGCTTTTGGGAAGATCAGTAGTGCATGGTGGGAAATGGCCCAATGACTGCCAAGTCTAGTTACCCCCCAGCCAGTGGGTATGAGTTGTTTTTGAGCGTATATCCTGTCAGGATTCAACATGGGAATGTCGTTTGTCTTGAGCCAAATCATGTAGCAGATTCCCCCTGTCTTTGATTCAGCCTGGCATTTCCATTGACAAAGTAAAACAACCACCATCATTTGCCAAGCTGCGGTTGACCTGAATCGAATCTCTGCGCAGGTGCTGCCCGCTGATGCGGCTGCCGGTAACCTCAGCTGGAAGGGAGGGTGTGGAAGGGGATCCCAGGAAGAAGTGATGTCAAGGTAGTGTCAAATAACAAAAAACAGAACATGGAAGTGAAAGGCCAACAAGCTCTCTGCAAAGCAGTTGGTTCCAAATCCCCTAACCATAGAGGCACACGTTTTGAAAAGCTGCATCACCAAGAAAAACATGTGCGTGCATCAAGGCAGTGACCAGTGCCAAACCCTCATGTGATGAAGCCAGAAGCATATTGGCGTTGCCTGGTTACTATTTCATGCTAAAGCCTCACGCAGTGGCAGTGGGCAACACGAAGCAAATAGGCCCCCAGTGTCATTTTAGATTTCCACAATAATTGGCACCCTTGGTCACTTGCAAAAGAACACCACGGTACCATTTTCGAGCGCAAGCTGAACATGGCAACCTGGTACCAGGTTGTCATGTGCAGCTTGTGCTTAGGTGGACAGTGTTTACCAACTCAATACCCTTTAACAAACACAAAAAAACAAAACACTGGCTACCTTCAAAATGGACGCAGTGGCGCTCTAGGGTACATGTACTGTCTTCTTCAATCCATGGCTTCTGCAAAACTGAGGCATCCTGAAGTGTTGTGTGTTGAGCTCGAACATGTGCGTGGCAACGGCTAAGGACATAGACTTCTCACTTCGAAGCGCTCTACTGGAGCAGTTGGCTGCGTGCTGTTGGGAATGGTGAGGGTGGCTGCCTGCAAGAGCTTGTGCTTTGCTTGTGCTCAGACAGCATTGCGTGCATGAGTATTGTCCTTTGGTCTTGAGTCTTTGCTCTGCCTTCCTTGCCACTGGACCAAGCCTGATCTGTAGTTTGTGCAGCCTGCGTGCTTTGTGCTGCAGCAGCCTCGGGCGTGAGTGTTTGTTCTAGCCTGTGTTGATTGCTTTGAGTGCCAACAATGAACAGTCAGTTTCACTCTGGCAAATGGCTTGCCATTATCTCATCAACATTGCGCCCTTCCATGGTTGCCAGTTGAATTTCTTTGTTGTTGCACCTACATACTTGAACGGGTTGATCTTGCTGACCCGAGGCTTTGGCTCTCCCTGACCTGGCGCTGCACTTGGATTGGCGTGGGGGCCCCAAGATCTAGAAGGCAGCTGGGTGTGTTTGCTGCAATCCTTCCAAATTCCTGTTTTGGGTGCACTTGTGTTTGCACATTGTGTGATGAAACTGGTTGTTTTTGGTTCCAGGGCGTCATACTTGACACTAATCACACGTGCGGTTGTTGGACAGTGGCAGTCTGGGATACATGCTGGCACCCATTGGCCACCCCTAATGAACCTAAGTGTTTCAGCTATGGGCCATGGGTGAGTCATTCCATGCCACAGCAGCTTTCAAAGTGAAACTCATGAAGACAAGAAACAAATTTAGCTTCAAGGTGGTCATACTTGCAAGGGTTGCAGTGTGTGTGTGTGTGAGTGTGTGTGTGTGTCTGGTGTGTGTTTGTGTCGCAAATTCATGGTGCTGATCAGCATGTGAGGCCGCTGCAGCACTGGTCGGCTCAGATGATGATGGTTCTCATGACATGAGGCATGAGGTGCATATGTGAGGCATGTCATCCATTTTGTTTGCATCAATCAGATTATTTTTGAGTTGAATTGCTGGCTTTGCGCTTTTTTCCATTTTGCAGCCATGAGGAAAGCCATTCAGGCTCTCCTGGATGCGAGTGAAGCTAGTGGCCACCGAAGCGGCAGCCGTGGGCGCCGAAGCCGCAGCCGTGGGCGCCGAAGCCGCAGCCGTGGGCGCCGAAGCCGCAGCCGTGGGCGCCGAAGCCGTGACCGCCGCAGCCGTGGGCGCCGAAGCCGTGGGCGCCGAAGCCATAGCAGGGAGCGCCGGGGTAGCCGCAGCAGGAGCCCGATAAGGATGTCGAATTGGCATCTTCGAAGGGAGCTGACCAAGGTTGTGCCCTGGTTGCACTTAATTTGGACTTCCTTGGAAGTGGTGTGTTGTGTGAGTTGCGGTTGTATTCTTAATGCGTTTTGGTTCAAAAAGTTGTCAATGAAATTGTGTTGGTGACCTGCTTGAATTTGCAAGGATAAGTTGGCGAAACTTGGTACCAAGTTGAGCCAACTTATCCACTGCCAAGTGCTTGATTGAATGCGGAAATAAGCAACAAACTCCCCGCACTTTCTACAAGCTAAAGGGAGGGGGGCCATATCTTGCAACGCTGTGTTGTGTTGCATTTGGTTTGCCCTTTAAAGCCATGTGAGGTGCAGTGCGTGGTGACCTCTGAGGAGAGGTTGGCAGGTCCAGGTCCACAACTTGCCGCGCCGCTGCCGGTGGGGCGACTGCCACCAAGCTTGCTGGCCTTGGAGCCAAGCAGTGGCAGTGGACAGCATCCTCCTCGTGCAGGTGGCTGCTATGTGGAGGAGGTGGAGTCGGAAGAGGAGGTGGAGATCGATCAGGATCCACCAACGGCAATGCCACCAGCTGCAAAGGCAATGCCACGTGGACCTTCAGCCCCAGTGAAGGCTAGGCCTTTGATCCCAAAGGCCATGGTGCAGGCGCCGAAGTTCAAGCCCAAAGCCAGGCCACCTGCCCCTCTGCAGAGGCCACCCCGCCCGCCACCTCCGAACAAGAAGGCAGCAAAGGAGAAGGCAAAGGAGAAGGAGGCAGTGCCAATGGCATCAGAGCCTGCTGGCACCTGTAGGCCGCCAGAGCCTGCCAACCCGCCAGCCCACACCACAGCACAGCCACAAGCACAGCCTCCGATGCAGCAGCAGCAGCAGCAGCCGGGGCATCCCATGATGAGCAGCCCGCTGCACCCCATGATGCAGCAGATGATGATGGGGCAGCAGCCCGCAACAGGGCAACACCCCATGATGATGGGGCAGCAGCCGACGATGATGGGGCAGCCTATGATGATGGGGCAGCCCGCGATGATGATGGGGCAGCCCACGATGCCCGCAATGATGGGGCAGCCCACGATGCAGACCATGATGGGGCAGCCCATGATGGAGCAGCCCATGATGCAGCCGCCCGTGATGCAGCCGCCCGTGATGCAGCCCGTGATGCAGCCGCCCGTGATGATGGGGCCACCGATGATGGTGGTCAGCCCAGACATGCAGCCGCCCATCATGACACCACAGCAAGCACAAGCAACACAGCATCCTGTGCCCAAGCAGCAATTCCAAGCACAGGCGCCGACAGACTGGCTGGGGCAAGCACCGCCGCCGCAAGCCCCCCAAGACAAGCCTAAGGTGCAACAACAAGCTGCCAACAAAGCGCCCACTGCGCCGGACTCGCCTGAGGCTGACCCCCCGCCTGATGACCCACTTCCATCACATAAGGAGAAGGAAAAGGAGGGCCGCAAAAAGAAGACAAGGCCTGACAAGTCCAGCGGCGATGAGGCGCGTCCAAAGAGCGCTGGCGGATGGCGGCGGTGGGAGGGCAAGCAGCGCTGGCGCTAGTTTCCTTTCTGTAGCAGCCGATTCTGGCGCATTGGCACTGGTCTGAGGGCAAAAAAGTGTTTGCGTCTGTGCGTGAGTCTGAGAGCATGAGGGGCTATCGCCAGTTTAGTTGCTTGAGCATGATGTGTGGATGTGTGGATGTTGGATGTTGCTATCACCAATTTGAACCCTTGATGGAGCTAGTTGGCTGCACTCCTACATTAAGAAACTTTGTCTGGGACAACACGTTGACATGTTAAGGAGTGATTGTGATTGGCCTCACCTGGGCAAACTCTGGCCTGTTGCATTTCACTGCCTCCTCTGAGGCTGGAACTGCTGCGGAGCTGCTGGCAGGCACGTGGTCCTGGCATGATCAAGGCAGCCTTGCAACTGTAATTTGGGAGAGCAGGGAAATGGGCAACTTGTGATGGCCTGGGCCGAGCAAGTGCTTTCAAGGTTCCAAGATGCAAGTTTCAAGAGCTGCCCACAAACTGCGGCCAGGCCTTCTCCTCGGCCGCATTGCTTTCAGCGCCCGCGCCACTGGCTCGCTGTGAAGCCTGAGCTGAGAGGATCTGGGTCTGAACTGTTTGGGTAACTTGGTTGCTTCTTGGAACCTGCTAGCCTGACACAAATTTAGTTTGTGCTCAACACCAGGTTGAACTTGTTCTGATCTTGGCATTGGGTGTGGTTTCCTTATATACCAGTTAAAGATGAGGCTGGGGTGAAACCGAAGCAAAAAGGGCCAAGCTCGGCTGTGTGTGAATTTTGGTTTTGCGTGTTGACACCCATTCTCAAATTGTTGACTCACCTCTTGGCTTACTTGTGCAGTATGCCTATTCTGAAAAATATATCCCACTGTGTGCTGTGTCCTTTCGTTTGTTTGCTCATGCCCTTGACAAGGACATGAAGGCATGATTGCCGCCATTCCATGGTAGTGTGTGAAGAGCCCTCGTCGTTGATCTTACTTGGGCATCTTGCCAGTCAGTACTAATTGGGTTGGTTCGCTTGCTAAGGTCTGCCCAAGGTTCGAATGGATCCAAAACAAAATAAGGTCCTGTGTAGTGGGAATGACTGATGGCCGGGCCAGGGGGGCCGAAAGAAGCACTTTGAAACATGTGAGACCGTTGCAATGAATGGCCATGCCATGAGGTCTCTAGTCTGCCACTCACTGCCTGCTCAGAATAATTGACAGTCAAAAGCAATTACTACTCAATTTGGAATCCTGGTTGCATGGCTCCTTGTGGCCCACACCCGTCAGTGCAGTGAAGTGCAGTTGGGTTGAACACTGGGCAACTGAGTATTTTCAAGGTTTCTGCCAACTCCTACAAAACATGATGCCAACCTGAAAATGACATGCTGCCAACCTGAAAACGATATGCCGCCAACCCTGCAAATGACGTTTGGATGTCATTAACGTGTTGGTGGCTAGGGGGGGGGTAGCCGCCAACCCCCTGCCACTAATGACGTTGGGCCTTCAGATCCCCATCAAAGCAGCCAGGAACTATGCCAGCCTCAATGTGAAGACTTGCTGGTTGCTGGGGGGGGGGTAACCGCCAAGGAACATAGGAAAACCTAATGTGGAGCCAAGCCTGCCAGGCCTGACAAGTTGGAAAACCATTGGTGCCGCATTACTATTTCCTATGTTCCTTGGTGGCCAGGGGGGGGGTAGCGGCCAAACAAAACTGTGCTTGCCAAGGGCTTGTGTGTTGGTTGCTATCACAGTCATTAACCTGAATCTGGTAAATTTGCAGTTGGGATTTGGTACCAAATCCCAAGTGACAAATTTACCAGATCTAAATAAATGAAGGGTGGGGGAAGAAAATGATGTGCTCCTCGCAGGATGACCAACCACTTCAAGAATGCCAAGGACAAGCTTGTGGCCAAGATGAGGGAGGTGTATGGGCCTGAGCAGCCTCACTTCATGGAGGCCTTCCAGATGAGTGAGGAGTGGAAGGCGCAGGTGCTGGCACTCCTCCCCCATGCTGAGTCAGAGGTGTCGGCCACTTACGCTCTTGGGCAGGTGCTTGTGGGCAGCTGGCAGGTGAGCATGGAGGGCATGAGGGGCCGGCCAAAAATGGTCAACATTTTGGAAACCACAATGAACTTCTTGGACCGGCCGTTTGAGAGTGTGCTCCACCCCTTGCGGCTGACCTTGCCACCCTCAGCTGCAGTTGGGGCTGCCCTGCCAGACTGCAGCTTGCGGCTGGTAGTAGGATTCACTCGGAGCTTGGCATCGAAGATGCTGCTGCAGTTGGTCCTCTCCAGTGGGCTCAGCGCTGATGAGATTGGCTGCTTGATGCCACAAATCAAGGCAGCCATTGTGATGCATGCCGTGGTGGAGATTGGCAGTGAAGAGCAGCTTCTGCAGCGGTCGTTGCTGTCCAAGTTCCAAGTGGCTGAATCAACAAGACCGGATGTCCTGCAGATCTACGAGGGCTTTGTGAAGTACTGTGCGAGGGCTGGCCTGAAGTATGCCGAAGCCATCTCTGACCAGATCAGCCGCTTCAACATGAACAGCAGCACGGACACTTCCAAAATTTCTGAGCAGGAAGAGAAAATGCTGCGAATGCTGCCGAATCAGGATGAGCTGTTCCTGAAGCTGTTGTCTTCCCATTGGGACAACTTCAAGGCTGGTGAAAGTGGAGCAACGCTTCGAACCTTGGTCACGCACTGTGACCGTGTGTTGCCTCGCGATGACACCAAGCCAGCAATTTGGACTGCGATCATGGCCCCTTCGCCTGCCAAGAACCTGCTGTTCCTCCAAAGGCTGATTGAGGTTTACATGAGAAACTTCAAGGATGCCATCAAGGGTGGCAAGAAGGTGAACTTGGCATTTCGGGCTGCCCGGCTTCGAGAACAGGCGCCAGCGGATGCCTACAACTTCTGCTGCCTGTACCAGCAATTCTTGCCACAGTTCAAGCAGCAGCTCAGTGATGGCCAGCTGAAGGCTGCAACAGCGGCCTTTGTGAAAGGCGCTTACGACAAGGAGTTTCTTGCCCAGGTGAGGGCCTTGGATGCGGAGGTCAGCTGCAAGTCCTTCCGCTTTGTGAGCTTGCTGCAGGGAAAGGCCACGAGTCTCCAGAGCCTTGAGCAGCAGCAGGAGAATGCGGAGAGTGAGGCAGAGGCTGCCCAGCTGAAGGCCAGGTGGGCTTGCAGCGTTGTGTGGTGCAGGCCTTCAGGTTGCTTTGAAGGTTGGGCTGCGACGGACTTCTTTATGTTTCACACCCCTCACGTGGCAAACCACCTTGCCAAATGCACCAAACAAGCCGTAGAAGAGCCAAGTTCCAGCTTTCTCCGCTGAGTTTGTCACGCCAGGCCTTCACTGTGAAGCTTCAGAAGGAGCAGGGCATCTTTCTGGACTTCAAGTCTGCACTCAAAGACTTTCACTCCAAGCACGCAGCCAGTCACCGTGACCACCTGCTCCAGCAGAAGCGCGACCTGGAGGCTGCATCCCGAGCGTATCAGGAGAACTGGATCAGGGTGCTGGAGCGGGATGACTTCGTCACAACGACCATCCAGAACATCGTGACGGATTTCGCGCAGAAGCAGTCGACGCTGGAGGAGCATGTGTACAAGTGCTTGTGGTGTGACTTGACAAAGCTGGGTGCTGCCCACAGCAAGCACCTGATGACCATGGTCAGCATCTTGGCTGAGAATGTGGCAGCGATGCCTGCGAAGACGGTTGCGCTGATTGCGGTTCCCAACACGGCCACGTGGGGCTCGGTGTACAGCGAGGCCGAGATCTTGAAGGCGGTGGCCACGGTGGAGGAGACTCTGCGAAGCCAGGAAGCAGAGCTTCTGGTTCGGCGGGCTGTGCTGTCCTTTTCGGAAGAAAGCCTGAAAGGCTCGACGCGCCCTGGATGGCATGATGTGCTGGTTGCCATCAGCAAGGTGGAGAATGCCCAAGGGGAGCTGGTCAGTGACTTCACGAAAAGTTACCTTTGGCAGCGTCGCCATGTCCATGACGTTGAGGCAAGGCCTGTGGGCCAATTCGTTGTGCCTGACTTGCAGTTGCAGACTGGCGCCCTCAATAGCTCCAAGGCGCAACGGTCAAAGCAGCAAGTGACTGGCGTCGACCTGTTCCTCAAGCTCCAGCAGGTGCTGTGGCGTGGAGTCCAGACCTTCGGCAAGTCATGCATTTGGTTTGACCTCACGCCCTACGATGCTTCGCTTGCCCAGTCGGTCACTCTCAAGAACGCGCAGGGGAAGCAGGATGAGCCGGAGTCCACTCAAAGTGTTGCCCAAATCATCTTTGCCACGGATGACTCGGGCGCTGACAACCGCAAGGTGATCTTTCAGTACATCACGGCAGTTGTCAGACAGCAAATCCAAAAGCTGGCCAAAGAAGACAAGATCCTGAAGCTTGACGGCTTTGTGGAGCGCAACTTTGAGGCTGAGAAAATGCCCAGCTACGACGAGAAGCACTTTGAGCTTTGCATGGTGCAAACGCAGGAGGGCGGTGGACACTGCCTGCTTCTCAGAGAGGCTGCTTTGGAGAAGCTTGTGTTCAACCGGTACAAGCAGGACTTTGACAAGCTGGTGGCCTTGCACAACAGCCAGCACAACCCAAGTGGCCAAAGCTTCAAGGAGAAGAAGCGCACAGCAACGGTGGCCCAACTTGACCTGGACAAGGAGCCGAAGCTCCAGTGCCCACCCGTTGAGAAAACCAAGGACGACCTTGACAAGCCACTGGTCGTGCTGCCTGCCACGAGCATCAGCAACTTTGAGATTGTGATCGATGCCAAGAAGCAAGTGTTCCTGCTGTCCAACTTTGATGGTGTGGTGACACACCACAGGCCGCTCTTCCTGGGATGGGGCGAGTACAGGACGGCAGGGGAGGTGGAGAAAAGGGAGAAGGCCAAGGCCATGATGCTACCCTTTAAGATGGACACCCCGGAGTACAAGGCCTTCTTCTTCCACGACAGCACAACATTCACGCCTGGGTATCCTGAGGCAGTTTCCAGCCTGGCAGACTTCCTGAGGTTCTTGGAGGGCAAGGGTGTGGTGAAGCCCAGCATTGCGTGTCACGCTCTCGAAGTCGTAGCTGGGGCAACAGACAAGGACTGCTACAAGGTCAACAATGACAAGCTGTGCTCCTTTGAGTTAAAGCCTGTCCCGCCCAAGAGTGAGGTCACCTACCAGAACGGGGGCTCCCTCCTGAAAGTGCAGAAGCAGGAAATTGGAAAGCTGAAGATCATGATGCGCCTGAAGTTCACGAAGTCTGAGTCTGGCGCCGGGATCTATCCCCAGAAGCCTGGCTTCTTTTTGGCCCAGCCACTAAGTGTGGCGAAAGGCCAAATGTATCAGCTAGTGTAAGCTGACAGGCTATGTCCTGAAATTGTCTGCAAGGGCTTGCAAGCGCGTGAACCACTTGACATTTGATTGAGCATAGCATCAGCGTAGCAAAACTAGCACTGAATGATTTGAAATGGTTGCGCTGGCATGTTCCGCTGCAGACAAAGCTGTGGACAATTACCGTGACTGATGGTGGAAAACAACTTTCTTGCTTAGGCAGAAGGGGTGGCATGGCGCAGTTGCTACTGCATTGGGAGCACGTGAATTTCTTGTGTTGGCCTGCTTAGCCCATTTGCTTCAAGCTGTTGGCAGGTGCAAGGTAGCATGTCTAGCTTCTTCCTTGCGGGTGGCACTGGCCCCAACTCCAGTGATGAAGAGGGCATGGAGTCCCCAAGGTCATTGAGCCCAATGGAGTGTCCAGTGTGGCCATCGGATGCTGATGTCAGCTTGATGATGTCAGCATCGTCAGGCAGTGCAGCTTCTCAGCTTTCATTCCAGCCACCTGCTCGTGATCTTCCAAGTTCAGAACCTGCAGCAATGCTCAGCCCTTCTGGAGCTGGCTGCCCCATGCCTGAGAAGAAAGTTCTGCTTGAAGTTGCAAGCACGATGTCTGATCAGGATGTGCCTGAGCAGGAACTTCCTGATGCTGACTGTGACCTTCCAGTGTATGGGCCAGAGCCACCGGTGACACCGGCAAGAGCAACCCTGGCGCCAGCCATGCCTGAGGAGACTGCGGCAGCTGCCAAGGAGACGCCGCCGAAGCCTGGCAAGACTCAGCAGAAAGATGGCAACTCCAACGGTCGTGGTGGAGACAAAAAGGCTCGGTGTAAGCGAGGTGAAGCAGGCACGTTTGCCGGAAGGCGCCCGCCCAAAAATGAGGAGAAGCTGAAGGTCTTCAACCAGTTGAAGGAAGAGTTCAACAAGGCCAAGAAAGACTCCAAGGATCAACTGAAGGTCAAGAGCAAGTCTGGCGGGGACTCCACTGCCAACCAGCAAGAATTCTGGACCTTTGTGCAGAAGCACATGAAGGAGCAGAAGGCTGGCACAACGCAGAACCGACTATCTGCAGCTGCAGCAGCTTGGAGGGCTCAGAAGCTGGCTGGGGAAAAGGGGGACACCAAGAAAAAGGCTTGCTGAATGTAGGGGGTGTTGCAGCGCCAAGAGCTGAACAGAATCAGTCATTGGAGGAGACATGAAAGACATGAGTGTGAAAGATCTGTTTGTTTACAATGCACACAAATGCTTGATGGCCTACTTGTTTCATGTGTGTCTCCTCCTGTGCATGGGGTTGCGATGTCTGGCTGTGAAGCTCTTGCCAGCTGCCTAGCACTGGGGTGTTCACAAGAAATACTGGCGGTTTTCACTCACTCTCTGGGTGCCCAAGGCTGGAAAAGAAGGTTACACTGTGCTGCCGAGGCTTTGAAGGACTGAGATGCTTCAAGCAAGGTTGTCATGGACTCTTGGCCCAAGAAACTTGGTGCCAAGTCACTCAGCCAGCCATGTTCCCTGCTGTTGCTGCTTCGCTTGTCTTGTCATGTGGCTGGACTTTAGCTGACATGAGTCATCATTGTGAGCACCTTGACCGTGACTTGCAAGTGGTGGAGATATGGTCTGGGGTTGAGTCCATTGCTGGTGCAGCAAGTCATCTTGGCCTTGCTTCAGCTGCTTTTGATGTTTGCAGGGACAGTGCCCAAAACATCCTTCAGCTTCAAGGGCTGCGGGAGGCAACCTCCTTGGTGGGGCGTGTAGTTCAAGGAGGATTGGTGGTGCTAGCGCCTGAATGCAAATCCTTTTGCGGACTCTGCATCAATGGCTCTCGCAGGCATGAGCGAGATGAAGGTGCCGATAGCAAGGCCTGGGTAGCTGAGGGCAACGAGATGGCCATGGTTGCAATGATGTTTCTTTGCCTATGTGTGTCCAGGGGAGTTCACTGTCTTGTCGAGAACCCCCACGGCAACTACTTCTGGAAGTATGGGCCAGTGGCATCCACATTGGAATCCCTCAATGCAATCCATGCCAAAGTTGACAGATGCCGCTTTGTCACTGGCAGGGGCTCCAAATTCAAGAAGGTGTACAACTTTGCATCATGCTCGCAGTTTGTTGCAGAGCTCCAGCGCTTCACCTGTCGCTGCAAACGTGCTCACGAACGCATGACCACCCGGAAATGTGTGGAGGTGAGTGGTGTGAAAAAGGTCATGGTGACGGGCATCAAGGACAAGCTGAAGGAATCAGCTGCATACCCAGCCAAGCTGGGGCAGGAGATTGTAAATCTGTGGCACTGTGCGAGTAGGGCTGCTGGGCATCAACCCAGTGAGCCATTGTGGCTGGTTCCTGAAGAGGGAACTGAGCCTTCTTTTTCTGAGTCTTGCCACGCTTCCTCTGAAGCTTGGCTGCAGCCTTGTGAATGAAGCCAAGGCTGCGGGTTGGGGTCAGCAAACATGTTGGTAGCATGCGCAGCTATGGGGAAAATTGCGCTTGTGCTGTTTGCTCCTAGGTCCGGGTGCGGATTGTAACTTTGCTTTTGCTCATATGTTGCGCAGGTACATATGCTGGTTGGCGAGTTCTAGACGCTGGCCCAGGCGGGCCCAATGTTGCCAATCAACAGCCTGTTCCTGACTGGTTGGCAACTGTGCTCAATTAAGTCTGCTACTTCTTCTCAAGGCTGTGTGTGCTTGACATTGAAGCTGTTGCAGGCTTGCCAGTGTAGCTTCACCTGAGTGTTGGCTCAAGTAATGAACAACTGACAGTCAGCAAAGATGTTTCAGGTTGTTAAGCGCATGTGCTCACACATTTGTTTTACAGGACTTGGTAACCAAGTCCTATAAAACAAAGTATGACTTGGGGAAGCGTGACAAAACAATTATGGTGTGAACAGCCATGGCTGCCTCTGAGAGCTGGAAAATTTTGCCTCTTGGGGAGGAATCGCCCTCAACTGCAACAGCAGTGCATGGTGACAGCTGGAAGAGGCTGTCCCTTGATGAAGATGCTCCGGAGTCAGCTGCCCCGAAAAAGCGGCAAAGAGCTTCAGTGTCTACGCCATGTTCTTTGTCAAAGCCTGCCAAGGTTTCTGCACCATCTCAGCCCGCAGCCCCGCAGAAGGTGGTCAACATCACAGCTGCGACGCTGAGGCTGCTGCCCAAGGAAGACAGCGTGGGCAATGAGGGCCAAGACCGTGCTGTTCAGATGTCAGGTGGATGCCGCTGCAAGCGCAATTGTGTGAAGCAGTTCCATGAGTCAGAGACGCTCAACTTGGCCAGTCTGTGGCATGGCTTGTCCGTGCAGACTCGGGTGGGTGTCCTCTCTGGTCTGTATCATGGTGACTCTGAAGATGTTGCTGCCTGCAGCGAGGGTGATGATCGTCAACAGGAGCGTGAGATTGAGCGACACCACTGGAAGCTCAATGACAAGCAAGTTTGCTTCAGAGGTTTCTGTCAGCTGCTTGGAGTTTCTGCCAAGACTGTGTGCAGAATGATCCATGGAGCTCCTGACATGCGCGTGGGCGAGCATCAGCCTGGCACAAGGTCTCACCCACAACGTGACTTCATCAACTACTTTTTCACTGAGCTGTATCTCTGCGCTGCAGAGGACCTGCCAGAGGTGGCTGTCACTGAGGGGGTGGACGCAGCGATTGAGCAAGGCCTTCAAGCAGAGGTGACAACGGAGGAGTCCCCAGAGTTCAAGAAGCACTTTGTCTGGAACCTGCAAACTGAAGTTCCTGCACGCCTGACTGCTCTGCTGATCACAGATAGTGGCCAAAAGCCACCTCCATGTCGCATAATACCGCCAGGCAAGCTCAGTGACCTGTGGTACCAGTTCCTGGCATGGAGTGAGTCGCATGAGGTGCAGGACCGAACTGAGGATCTGAAGAGTGTTCGCAAATCTTCAAAGCGAGGTGATGAGAAGAATGTCCCCAGCTGGGCAACCTTCTGGCGTGTTTGGAACACATATTGGCATGGCAAAAGCAGGACATTGCTGGCCTTCAGAAAACAAAGCCAGCATGCAGAATGCGATGTTTGTGCCCATGCACGCATGTGCCTCTATGGCAAGAACATGTCAGTCAACGACAAGATTCACTTGGCGACTGCGTGGCGCCAACACCTCCGTGATCAATATCACGATAGACAACTTTATTGGTCCATGCGCTTCGCGAGCCGCTCGAAGATGAACATCATCACGATTATAGTGGACAGTTTTGACAAGACCAAGATGGCGTACCCCAAGCTTGACTACAAACTGGGCAGACTGCCGCACGCATTTGACCAGCTTCTGCGGCCAAAGCTGGTGCAGAGCTCAGTAACACATGGGTGTGCTTCTGCACTTGTGTTTCACAGTCAATTTTCAACTCCTTAAATTTGGACCGGCGCTCTGCTTCAGGTCTTGACGGCCTGCCTTTGCCATGGATGGCGGACTGGGGTCTTCTTGCAAGATGATCATTTGCGGCATGGTGCTGATGCCTACCTGGAGGTGGTGTCCCGCACACTAGACTCGATTGCAACCACGACGGGGGAGCTCCCTGCCCATCTGTGGCTGCAATCGGATAACACAACAGCCCAATCAAAGAACTCCAGTTCCCACTTGTACTGTGCTTTGCTGGTCGGGCGCCGCCAAATGAGCACAGTTACGTGCTCCTACTTGACCAAAGGTCACACGCACGAGGATGTTGATCACTTCTTTGGGGAGCTGCTGCCAATCTTGAGACGCAACCACTTCGAATGCCTCGAAGACATGCAACAACTCCTGCAGAAAGAGCTTCAGGTCCGGGCTGAGAACTGCCAAGAGCAGCTGCAGGTTGAAACCATGACGGCCATCCATGACTTCACAGGCTGGATGGATGTCACAGGAGTGCGCTTGATGAACACGTTCCGGTCCAGAAAGAAGCAACCGCAAGAACGATGCGCCATCCCTGCGCACTCCTTCACCTACAAGAGGCGTGAGGACCTGAGCGCATCTGAGCGGGAGCAGCTGCCTGCCTCCACAGCACAAGGCCACGCGCAAGATGTCTTTGCCATCATCAAGGCAAGAATGCACCATGGCCATGACCAGGCAAAGCCGCCTGTCTTGACCTTGCCCTGGGACCGCGCAAGCAGAGTTGGTGCTTTCAGCCAAGTACCAACGCTGCCCCCCAATGACATCGCTGAGGACAAGAAGAAAAAATATATCGCACTGGCAGCCCTGCTGGAAAAGGAGCCCTACAACTACCAGCGTGGTCCACAAGCTTTGCGGGAGCTTGCCAGGGACCAGTGCAAGTCTGAGCTCAGGCCCATCCCTTGGCTGGATGTGCCTGGAGCACAGCAGAGTGCCAACGTGGTGTTCACTGGGAATCACTACTACCCAGAGCTTGCAGAGGTTGCGTGGCCAATGATGGCCCAATTCAGGTAGTCCTCTTGCAAGATCAATATCGCATCGCAGTAAAAAAAAATGCTTGCTTCCAGGGGTGCTTGGCCCATTGGTGTGAGTTTCTGCAAACCCCTGTCAAGTTTGCTCAACCATTTGGTTTCCAAACTGGAAGCTTGTTTGTGAGAATCTACGAGGCCCTAGCCCCAGCCCTGAATTGCTCTGCAGGCAAGGGGCTGCTGTGGACGGCAGCTGCAGCCAGCGCCAGGAGCTTGCCTCAGAGGGACTGGCTTTGCGGTTTGGTTTGGGGAATAAACATGTGGGTGTATCACCACAAGCTTAGGCCCACCCAAAGGCCTGGGGGCTTATTAAAGACGTCTGCTTCAAATAGCATGGATTGAGGAACTCGCATTCCTTGTCTCCATCATGCTACTTACACAGGCTGCTCACAGCATAACATGGTGGGATGCATTTTCAACATGGCACATAGTTGACAAGGGTTGTAAAAAACAGTGTCACTCACATAAACCCATTCACTGACATCCGTGCATGTCTGAGAAGACTATGTTGTATGGTTTCAAGCAAATATTCACCATGCCTGTGGGCGCCATTCGTACCAAGCAGCTGACTGTTTGGAGGCAGCTGATGGAGGGCCAGGGTCCTCAGAATTAAGATGCGCCGCATTTGGAGAGCAATTTCAGTGTAAAGGGGTGGCAGGTGAAGTGAGCCCTCTGGTGTGATTGATCCAAGGTTGTCTGTTGGATGCTTCTGCATGAACTTTCATAATATTACATGGATTATTT